CCACAAGCTGACAGCAGGACCCCATTGCTGACAGCAACACCAACACAACTCATTGAACATGGAGAGGTAGAGCTGGTGCCTTCATAGACTCAAACCCCATGACCTAGTGCTTTTTACATGGGAAGGTACTCTGCAGGCTACCAAAAGAGAAACAGAAACACCAACATAGGCACAAAACCTTTGATCTGCAATCTGTCCTGCTGCAAAGTATTCTAGGTCAATGATGACCCAAAAACTCATGGGAGTAACCTACCAGTGACTGATTTGACTTAAGACCCATTCCATAAGATGGAACCTGTACCTAACACTGCTAGGGTGACTAAGCACCAGAGACTAGATAGCCCAGAGACCTAGAAAAAAACCAAATACTACTGGTCTTAAAAAAAGACAATAAAATGACCCCTAATGATATTCTGCTATACTCATAGATCAGTGCCTTATTCAGTCATTATCAGAGAGGCTTCATTCTGCATCAGATGGGAACAAATACAAATGCAGAGATCCACAGACAGACATTAGTCAGAGAGAGAGAGAGAGAGAGAGAGAGAGAGAGAGAGAGAGAGAGAGAGAGAACTTGTAACACACAGCTCTAAATGACATGTTTCCATCAAATCCCTCCCTGCAGATGTCAGGGAACTCCATGGAAGAGGAGGTGGAAGGAGTCTGGGAGCCAGAAGGGATGGAGGACACCAGAATAGATCCCTCCAAATCAACTGAGCAAAGACCATATGAACTCACAGAGATTAAAGCAGCACACACAGGGCCTGCAGAGGTCTAAACAAGGTCCTCTGCATATATAGTATGGTTTTCAATTTAGTATTTTTATGGGATACCTGAGTATGTGAAGGAGTAGATCTCTGATTCTTGTGCCTTCTCTTTGAGCTCTTTTCCATCCATTGGTTTGCCTAGTCCAACTTCAATATGATGGTTTTTTTTGTTTTATCTTATAATATTTTATTTTGTTACTATGTTTTGGTGTTATCTCTTAGAAGCCTGTTCTTTTCTAATGGGGTACAGAGGGTAGATTCAGATGGGAGAGGAGGTGGGGAGGAACTGGGAGGAGTAGAGGAAGGGGAAACTTTAATCAGAATATATTATATGAGAAAATAATCTATTTTTAATAAAATATAAAAATCAAGGGTAAAAAATAAAGAAAAGAAACTCAAGATTGCTAACCATGCTGTCTCCCAAGATGCCGGCATCAGTTATTACCTCCTCTATCTTTTCTCTTCCATTTTCTCTCAGGGTTTTGATTGCTTTTCCTTCAGTCTCATTTTTCATTTTGCCATGTGATGATGTTACAAGTTTGTTGTTTACAGCTGGGAATCTCTTCAAGACAGATTCTTTCTTGCTAGTCTCACTTTTTCCTCAGTAGTGGCACATTTTACATTTGCTGGCACTGACTGATTGTTTATTTAAACTGTAATTAACTCTTCCTCGCCTTGATTAGAAATTTAGATTAGAACCATTCTGTCAAATTCTACTTTTCAGGCTGTGAAAGCAATGTGGCCATGGAGCATCTAGAAATGCTGATAGGCTCACAATGCCGTCCACTCTTTGAAAAAGAGTTTTGAGAAATGAAGTGGCACCTCTTAGCACATGCCACACTCTTAATCCCCTAAACATTTTCACTGAACAAAATAACTTAGAATATAGTTTTCATTGCACTAAAACATCTCTCCTTTTGCAATAGAAAATGTGATGGTCTGATTGATTATCAGAGGGGGGTCTGAAATGGAATTTTCTGAAATAAATTGGAAACAATATGAATATTTACTTATTTTTTTTTTAAATCTATGCAAATATGGAAGACACCTTCACAACTGTTACATCCTTCAGAATAATACTGAGTCTGAACCCGAGGCTTCGGAACTGTGTATGCAGAAGCCTTTGCTTGCCACCTGCTAAACTGTTTTCATTGCAGTATTTGCTTCCTTTGCCAGGCATATCAAGCCTGTGATAATTAGCATCAACAGCAGAATACAGGAGGAACATAAGGCTTGTGAACAAATTACAGTTATTATAGCCTGGGTGCTTTTTAACATTAACTTGTTGTAGTTAGTTTTTATTCCTCCTTATTATATAATCTCAGGAATCTCTAAGTTTTGATCAGTATTTTAGGCTGTCTTGGCTCTGGGAAGAACTCTTGTTATAAAAGGTAGATAGAATAATTCTTCATTTGCTGTTTGATTTAGGTTCCCCTCCTTTCATCCCTCCTTCATCCTTTTACTTTTTCTTATTTCCTTAATGATATGCAAAATTTTAATTTGTATCATACACTGTCAGAGAAATTAAAAACAACACGATGGATACAAGCAAGCATCTAAGAATCCATGGAAGAGTGCTCCAGGTAATGTGCTAAGAGGTAGTTCAAAGGCAGAGGAAAAACTTATACTAAAATACATTAAAGAAAGTCTAGGGCAGGGTTTCTCAACATGTAGGTCATGACCCCTTTGTCAACTTCTATCTCCAAAAAAAAATGCGTTATGATTTATAACAGGAACAAAATTAGAGTTATGAAATAACAACGAAATAATTTTATGGTTGGGGGTCACCACAGCATGAAGAACTGTATTAAAGGGTCACAGCATTAGGAAGGTTGAGAACCATTGGTCTGAGGAAAGTGGTATGCTTGCTCGTTAATTCTGAACCAAACACAACCTTGAAATCTCTAGGGAGATAGTCTCAATGAGGGATTTTCCTTATTAGGTTGTCCTGTGCATATGTCTATAAAGGATTGTCTAAATTTTTAATTTATGTAGAAAGACACAGCCTACAATAGGCATCAGCATGGCAAGGCTTTGGGTCCTGGATTATGAGAAGGCAAGGCAAATACCATGACAGGCTCCAAATAACTCAGTGAAGAATTAGCTCTCACAGGAGACCACTTCCTAAATATAACACCAGTAGCACAGACACTGAGAGCAACAATTAATAAATGGGACCTCCTGAAACTGAGAAGCTTTTGTAGAGCAAAGGACATGGTCAGTAAGACAAAATGACAGCCTACAGAATGGGAAAAGATCTTCACCAACCCCACATCTGACAGAGGGCTGATCTCCAAAACATATAAAGAACTCAAAAAGCTAGACTTCAAAATTGAACAATCCAATTAAAAAATGGGCTACAGAGCTTAACAGAGAATTCTCAACAGAAGAATCTCAAATGGCTGAAAAACATTTAAGGAATTGCTCAACATCCTTAGTCATCAGGGAAATACAAATCAAAACAACTCAGAGATACCATCTTACATCTGTCAGAATGGCTAAGATCAAAAACACTGAAGACAGTTTATGCCGGAGATAATGTGGAACAAGGGAAACACTCCTCCACTGTTGGTGGGAATGCAAACTTGTATAGCCACTCTGGAAATCAGTGTGGTGGTTTCTCAGAAAATTGAGAATAAGTCTTCCTCAAGACCCAGCTATCTCACTCTTGGGCATATGCCCAAGGAATGCTCAATCTTATCACAAGGACACATGCTCAACTATGTTCATATCAGCATTATTCGTAATAGTCAGAAACTGGGAACAACCGAGATGCCCCTCAACTGAAAAATGGATAAAGAAAATGTGGCACATATACACAATGGAGTACTACTCAGCAGTAAAAAACAATGACATCATGAAATTTGTAGGCAAATGGATAGAACTAGAAAATACCATCCTGAGTGAGGTAACCCAGACTCAGAAGGGCAAACATAGTATGTACTCACTCATAAGTGGATACTAGATGTGACAGAAGGGATGGCCAGACTCCAACCCACAGCTCCAGAGAGGCTAGCTAACAGGGAAAGACTCTAGGAGGGACACATGGACGGCCCAGTGAAGGAGATGTGGATGAGATGTACATGAGTGGACTGGGAGTGGGGGATGGGGGGTGGGGGGCGAGGAGTGGGGCATGAGAACACAGAGTGGGAGGGCAGGGAGGGAGATACCATGATAGATGAGGACATCATGGGAATAGGAAGAGGCAGGGTGCTGAGGAGGTTCTCAGGAATCCACAAGATGACCCCACCTTGGACTGCTGGCAGCAGTCTAGAGGGTGCTTGGACTGGTCTACTCTGGGACCAGTCTAGTGAATACCCTAACCGTCATCACAGAGCCTTTGTCCAGTGACTGATGGAGGCAGATGCAGAGATCCATGGCCAGGCACCAGGCTGAGCTCTGGGAATCCAATCAATGAGAGAGAGGAAGGTTCCTGCAGGTGGGGGACATTGAGATCATGATGGAAAGACCTGCAGAGATGACCAGCCACACTAGTGGAAGCCCATGATCTGTAGACTAGTGGCTGTGGAGTCCCGATGGGACTGGACTAGGCCCTCTGGTAATGGTAGATGGTTGTTTGGCTTGAACTGTTTGGGGGGCACCCAGACAGGAGGATTGGGATCTGTCCCTGGCACATGGGCAGGCTTTTGGGAGCCTGGTGACTGTGGTGTGCTGTCTTGCACAGCCTTGGTGCAGTGGGAAGGGGCTTGGACCTGCCTAGGCTCAGTGTGCCAGGCTCACTGACTCCCCATGGGGAGACCTTAATTTGGGGGATGTGGGTGGGGATGTGGAGATGTGGGGCGGCTAGGGAGGGAGGGCTGAAGGGTAGGAGGAGGGAGAAGGGGGGATCTGTGGGTGATATGTAGAGTGAGTAGAAAATTTCTTAATAAAGAAAAATGAAAAAAAAAAAGAAAGAAAAGAATTAGGCCTCAGTTCCTGCTTCTTGAAACTAAGCAGACAGTTTCTGAGGAAGCCATGAAGAAAGGACAATTGATCTTTAATGTCCCTCAAAGTATACTAGGCCTGAGCCAGCCCCCCACAGCAGCTCAAAGGTAATGACCAAATAAGAACATAGCCTGGAACTTATCCAGGTCTGCCCCCAAACTGAAAAGCCTTAGACAGCCCTTGCTAGCTCTATCCAATTAGGAATGTACTAAGATAATCGCCACTCACTTAAGCCAATCATAGATAAGATGACCTAACTGCCCTAGGAACTCCCCTTAGCTGTGCTTAAAAAAAACCCTGCACGGGGAGAAACCATGATTATGAAGGTGGTTTTCCCAGGGCGAGGCTTATCCATTGCACTCCGGATGTGCTGACCCCTGAAATTTCCCCAAATGTGGGAAACTCGACTACATAATTTGTGGTAGTAGGGGACTGCGTTCGCGCTCTCCCCTGAGTAAAGAAAAAAAAAAAAGCCTGCACATCTCTCTCTCATCACCATTTTGTGCAGGTGGATGACCCCACATGCATGCTGGTATAGTAAACGCTCTTGTTGTTTGCATACATGGATGGTGTTCCTTTGTGGGACTTCTCCAGGACCCTAACAGATTATCGAGAGAGGGCTAGCTGAAAAGTAGGCAAGCAGCCAACATAGGTACCTTCATTTCTTTCTGCTCTTGCCCATGGATATGATGTGATCAACTACTTGGTATTGTGCCTTGGTTTTCCCTGAAATGATGGGCTGTAACCTGAATTATGAGCTAAAAGAAACCTTCCTCCCATAAGTTGCTTTTGGTCGTGGTATTTTACTACAACAACGGAAATGAGAGCAGGAGAGAAAAGATAGAGAGAGGTCACTGATTCCAGGGGAATTATTGTTTGTGAGATGGTAGATTAAGATAATGAACTTGAAATTTGGGGTTATTCTTTAAGAAAAGAATAAAAATTTTAAAATACTTAGTGAAATGAATGATAAGCGGCGCTGGTTACCGTGCGAAAAGGTCACGAGCCATGGCCATACTACCTGGTAGCAGAGAGCTTTATTAGGAGGAAGGGGTTGGGGAGAAGACCCAGGCCTGGGAAAGAGCACATGTGGAGGGCAGAGAGAAAGATGGTGGGGGCTGGGGCAGCAGAACAGAGAGAGAGGGTGGTACCTGTGTCCACCTCTTTTAAGGGTTCCCAGCGAACATGCATAGGTGGGCTTACAGAGCTACACCACGCATGTGTTGATTGCATGATCATGCCCTGAGCACATAGTCACCAGCACTCACTGATGACGTAAGACCAAGATCCTTTGCTTAACTCCTGAACTGCACATGTGCGGTCATGCAGCTGGAGTCAGGACAGAATTCTAACACTTAGTAGGGAAATCACCAAAGAAAGAAGATATGGAAAATGATCCTAAATATGATCTAAGATTTAAGATCACATATGTGAAAGAAAGGAGAGAGGGAAAGATAAGTTTTTTTAAAAAAAGTTTTAGACTGCAGGATATTTCAAGAAAGCTTTATCTAGGCCAGATGATTTTCCAAACCAAGATTGCCTATTAGAGGAGCCACTGCATCTGCATTAATGAGCATGGTCTATAAGGAGCATGACATTTGTAAAATGTGGTGGTGAATTCAGTAAAGTGGCATTAAGACTGCCAGTCAATTCTATATAAATTGCACATCTGAGAAGTGCATGTCCACTGATGTTGTAAGGATGGAAGACAGCATGCAAGGAGGTATCAAAACACTCAGGGACATTTTTCAGTTGATCTCATGTGGAGGAGGAAGATAAACAGAATACAGAATTGTTCTAAAGTTTCTAGGCAGTGTGGTAGAATGCAACATGATGGGTGGAGAGAAAATAAATTTAATAAAACTGAAGAACTTATGAGATAAAATTAAAAAAGAACAAAATAAGGACTTCTTCACTTGGAAAATTCATATCAGCCAGTTAGGAGCTAACTTTTCTACAGATAACCATTTGACGTAAATAAGCATTTTTCATTAAAAACTAAATAAAACAATTTCGTTGTTTCAGATTTTCTCCATATTGAACAGTTTTAGTAAGTAAGTAAAAATGATTATAGTAATACTTTGTATCTGATTAAACTTTAAAATTTGTATATAAATGAGTTAAAGAAGGTGTATTTTTCATTTAGCCTGTTCCCCAACTGTCTAATTCCTGTCACATGTACAACAGAAAGGAAACTCGTGAGACTGGGCAATAAGGTGCTTGTCATGACTGTGTTCTCTGTATCCACAAAAACAGGGGTTAGGGCTGATTCAAACTGTCCTCGGTTCCTAAGAGAGCTAGTCATGTTATTTGTGAAACATTAAGTGACAATTAATTGAATTTCTCAGTCAAGACATATATATTAAATTTTACAGTGAAAATATTAAATCTGGGACCAAGATAGGTCGGGTGCTAAAGACACTTGATGTACACACCTGATGACGTAAGTAGAATTCTCAGAGTCCATGTTAAGGTGAAAAGAGAGAACTAACTGTATCAAGTTGTTCTTTGGTGTTTACATGTATATACACTAAACATAATAATAACAACGATAAATTCACTAGTTAAAATATATCAAAGCCCTTTTGAGCCATGATTAGGGTTACTTATAGGTATTTATAGTAATAAATATGTGATTAAGTTTATCTACAAACATTGTTTTTAAAATAGTATGCTCAATAGAATAAATGCCCAACATTATTTAACTTTATAATTATTTTGTTTGGGTCATAAGGGTTGTTTTTAGGTATTTTCTTAACATTTTGTTTCTGTCTGTTCTTTTTTCTTTCTTTAGCCAACTGTAGTAACTGTGGGCAGTATGCTTTTCCAGCAGAGGTCAGTGTTTGCATTATGTCAGATTGTCTCCAGTATGGGGACTTACCTTAGTGGTCATAAGAATGTGAAAACCATAATCCTTGGGAAGCATGCAAAGACATTCTGAAGAATTCTGTTCTTTCAGGAAATGTATCTCAGAGCTATGGTTTCACCATTGTGTGTGTGTGTGTGTGTGTGTGTGTGTGTGTGTGTGTGTGTGTGTGTGTGTGTTACATGTATAGAATGCTCATGATGGATCCAAATAAGTATCTAAGAATCCGCAGAAGAGTACTCAAGGTATACGTGCTAAGAACTAGTTTAAAGACAGATGAAAACTTACACTAAAATACTTTAAAGAAGGTCTAGGAAAAATAGTATGCTTAAGCTTTAATTTTGAACCTAACACAGCCTGGAATCCTCTAGAGGAGAGAGTATCAATGAGGAAGTTTCTACATTGGGTTAGCCTATGGATATGTCTGTATATATATGTGTGTGTGTGTGTGTGTGTGTGTGTGTGTGTGTGTGTGTGTGTGTGTGTGTATAAATAATCTGAAAGGATTGTCTTGATTGTTAATTTATGTAGGAAGACCCTACCTACATGTGGGCATTGCATGGGATATATAAAGATTCCACTGCTCCAGGATAGTCTTTTTGTCCCAGAACCTCTGTTTTCTATTGTACCCCTTCTTTCCTTTACAGATTATACACTGGAATTGTACAAGAAGACTTTTAGGATCCCAACGGATGTGCCAGCAGTTCCATTAAAATGAAAAAAAGCACAAACTTGCCTCTTTTTTTCCAACCAGGAAAATGCATTTGGTTCTTTGGCAGGAAGTTCTTGGCTTTTCCCAAGGGAAAAGCCTTTTAGGTTAGATACTGAAGTCTTGGGCTGCGTTCCAACCCAAGTTGTTGATGGTTTCATAATTAGTATACGGCATCTGAAGGCACTGGATACTTGTGGTGCCTAGACATGTAATGCTGACGAAACACTCATATATATCAAAGAAAATCAATAAACCTTTCAAAAAGTTTAAACACTTTATACAATATATTTTAATCACACACCACCTCCCTCAACCCCTCCCAGGTCCTCCCCACCTCCCTGCCCACCAACTTCAGGTTGTTTCTCTCTCTCTGAAAAGAAGAGCTCAGAAAACAAACAAACAAAAATCAAAAGTAACTAATTTAAACCAATAAAATAAAAGCCATCAAAGCAAAACAAAAGATCAAAACATCTCTCAACCTCATCATAGAAACTTCTTGCAATAAGATGGTAATTAACAGAGAGACCCTTATCAAAAGTTCCTGCAACCTGATAAATCTCTCCATCCCATACAGCTATCCAAATCAGACCAAATAAAACTGAATTAGAAAAAGCCCAGGTTTAATGGGTAAAATGCTCCGGATGATTTTCTGACCCCCAGAGAGGAGACGAGAAAGAGAGACTGAAAAGAGACTAAAAAGCCATTTGTCTGTTTTCTGGGGTGTAGATTAAATGCCCTGTGGGAGTGGTCTTGAGCATCTCTCGGGAGGAGCTATGTTTGGCAGGCTTTCTGAGATGAGGAAGGATTTTGGCAGAGAGAGATGGGAGAGGGGGATTGGGGTGGATCTTCCATAAGAACATTCCAGACTCTTTGGGTATATGGATGTGGGGTGGGGGGAGCAGGGCTGAGGTGGAGCTTCCACCAGCACACCATACTGGACAATGTGGTGAGAGTGAGAGACTTTAGGGTGAAAGGGTCTGAACATTGCTGATGAAGACTCAAATGGTATGCAAAAACAATGAGCATTTATTCTGCAAAATCAACCAGCATACGGGGTCGATCACTTGCACAAAATGGCGACCCCTAGAGAAGCACGCAGACTCCTTCTAAGCGTAGCTAGGGGAATTCCAGGAGCAGTTAAGTCATCACAAACATGATTGGTTAGATAAGCAGCAGTGCATTTCTGATTGGCTGAGGTTTTAGCTTTTCCATTTTTGGCTATGCTTGGGCAAGTCTGGGCGTGTTTCAGGGGGATTACAAGGAACTGTCTTTTTCTGGTCATTCTCTTGAGATACTATGGGAGCTGACTCAGCCCTCGTACATGCTCTCTCCCTCCCCCTCATCCCTGCTGTCTGGGTGTTGCTGACTAAAGGCCCTTTGTTTGAAGTAAGCCTGGTTTGCTCTTAAGGAACTGAAACTTAGATCGGATTATAAAATGGAGCATGTTTAGACCTCTCAAGAGCACTCAGTCCTAAATGGGATGTCTTTATCTAACCCTTCCCTTCAAGGCTCAGGGAACTATGGGAAGAGGAAGCAGAAAGATTACAAGAGCCAGAAGTAGAGGATGATTACAAGGAAAGAGCATCAGCCAGATACACAGGATTGATGCTCTCATGAACTCATGAGACCATGATAGTACACACAAAACCTACGCAGGTTCAAATAAGACAGAATTGTGGTGCTGAGAAAGGGAAGCATATATTCCTAACCAAGAAGCTATTTGCGATTGATACCTATTGGGAAAGGGAAAACCTGTTTTCAACAGAGTGTGTCACAGGAGTAGTTGACCAAAATAAATAAATCTTAAAAAAAAAAAAAAAACTTTGCAGCCGGGCGGTGGTGGCGCACGCCTTTAATCTCAGCACTCGGGAGGCA